GATGTGCTTGCTCTCTTCCTGATTTTGAACCATGAACTGTTTCCCTGCTCTGTTCTAAGGACTGCTTCCTGATCCAAGTATAGGTTTTGCATAAGCACCATCAAGTGTTCTGATATTCCCATTCTCCTTAAGATTAGTCACAATATGTTGTGATCCACTCAGTAAAATGCCATTGCATAGTCAATGAAACACAGATAGTTAACCCTCTGGTACTCTTTGCTTTCTGCCAAGATCCATCTGTCATTGGCGATAGTGTCTCTAGTGTCACTGCCCCTTCTAAATGGAACTTTTATTTCTGATAATTCTCTGTCAATGTAGTGTTCCAGTCATTCCTGGATAATCTTCAGCAGGATTTTGCTTGCATGTGATATGAGTGATATTATATGATAATTTCCACACTCTGTCTGGTCACCTTTTTTGGAATGGGAATAAATATACCTTGCTTTCAGTCAGTAGGCCAAGCAGTTATTCTCCAGATTTTTTTACACAGTCTGGTTAGCACATTCAGGGCAGCATCTGTTTGTTGAAATAAGTCGATTGGTATTCCATTAATTCCTGGGGATATGTTTTTTGCCAAGTCCTTTAATGCAGTCTAGACTTCCTTCTTCATCACCATTGCCTCTTGATCATATGTAATTTCTTGAAATTCTTCTGTCAGCCACTTTTTTTTTTACTACAGTGATTCTGTATACTTCTTTTATTTTCTTTATATACTTCCTGGGTCATTCACTATTTTACCCATAACATCCTTATGTATTGTTACTCAAGGCTTGAATGTGATCCTTAGCTCCTTCAGTTTAAGAAATGTTGGGGGGTGGGGGAAGGAAATGTTGAGTGCTTACCATTCTTTTGATTTTTGAACTCCAGTTCTTTGCGTATTTTATTATAATACTTTGTTTTTTCTTCTCATGCTGCCCTTTGAAGTCTTCTATTCAGTTCCTTAACTTCTTGATTTCTTCTCTTTGCTTTGGCTTCTTGGCATTCTAGCTAAATATTCAGTCTCTTCTGACATCCATCTTGATCCTTTTCCCCTTCTTCTGTTTTTGTAACGACCTTTTGCATTTTTTATTAATCACATTCTTGATATCCTCCCACAACTGATCTGGTCTTCATTCATTAGTGTTCAAGGCCTGAACCTTGTTCCTAAGTTGGTTTTTAAATTCAGGTGATATATACTCAAGGTCAAATTTTGTTTCCTGTGGATTTGTTTTTACCTTCTTTAGTTTTAATTTGAACTTGCATATGAGTAGTTAATCTGTCCCACTATCTGCACCTGACCTAGTTTTCACTGCTGATATTGAATTTCTCCAATAATTCCTTCCACAGATATAATGAATGTGATTCCTATGTATGTCATTTGTGAAATTTATGCATGTAGCCCTTGTTTATGTTTCTTATAAAAGAGTATTTGGTATGAATAAATTATTGAGTGTGTAGAATTCTATCATTCTATACTCAGCCTCATTTCCAAGTCCATGTTTTCCAACTACTGATCTATCTTCTGGGTTTCCAACTTTTGCATCCCAGTCACCCATTATTATTAAGGCATCTTTATTGCATGTTTGATTGATTTCTGACTGCAAAGGTTGGTAGAAAGAATCTATTTTCTCCTCTTTGGCTCTAGTTGTTGATGCATAAATATTGTATATTACTGTATGTATAATGCATATATATTAACCGATCTTTCTTATATGGGTATGGATATTATCCTGTCACTCAAAACATTGTGTCTCAATATAGATCTAGAAATAGCAGTTTTAATGATGAAAGTTTCCCTATGTTTTCTTACCTTTTATCTCCAATGTAGTAGATCATAGGCTTGTCTGATTGAAAACATCCCATGAGAATCCATCTCATTTCACCAATACATAATATGCCAATATTTATGTGTTCCATTTCTTTCTTAACGATGTTCAATTTTCATACATTCATGCTTCTCACATTCCACATTTCAATCATGAATTTCTGCTTACAACTATTCTTCCTCCTTTGTGTTTCCAATTTTGGGAACTCAAACTTAGTTACCATATCTGTTATTCTACTCTGTGTATGCTCGATTGTACACAGGGTTTTTTAAGGCCTATTATATTTTAGAATTGGATGGATAATCTTTCTCCCTAATGTCTTAATTTGGATGCTTAGCTTTGGAACAATATCTGACAAAGATTTTAGTGAAAGGAGCAAATGAAAGACACTTCCCCTTACAGAGATAACCATACACACTCCCTCTGCATGTGTGTCTTGTCCTTTCTATTTTCCTGAATATTAGCATCGTTTGCACTGCCTCCTACTCCATCCAGCACCTCCCCCCTCCACCTCTGCCAGAAAGTCTGATGGGATGGCTTAGGTCACAAGTCCCTTCTCCATGTCTTGCATGTTCCTGGTCCCTCATGCTGATTTCTATCTCATCTTTAGAATAATTTAAGTCCAAATCTCATGTATCCACTTCAGGAATGGATTTTTGTCTTAGGCAGTACTGAGGAAATGTTCTTGCCCCTGAGATCATACGCCAGGACTGTTATCTTGTGCAATAGCTTATCAGTTCTTCCTTTTGCATCACATGGCTGTCAGAATACAATAATTTCCAAGGTGAAGACTTTGTTTCCTTTAGATCTGGCATGCAAATATTATTTATTTGTCATGAGGGCCATAGACTTGTCAGCCCGATGCAGATCTGGGTCTGAATGTCCCTTCTCGCCTAGGCTGGCTAGTTGTTAGCAAAGCAGATAGGATCCTGGGAGAATGAGGGTACCTGAAGATAGTGAGACAAGACAGTGGTCTCAGTTTCTTGTAAAGGGTGATGGATGGTCTGTGGTTTCCTGAGAAAATTAAGGCCGCAAAAGGTGAAATCAGACTCTGGCTTTGCGTAGAGGTCTGTTTTTCTGACACAGATCTGCAATAAGAAGACTCAATATTGTGAAAATAACAACTCTGTCAAAGGCAATCTATAAATTCAATGCAAATCCCTACATAAATACCAATTCTGTTTTCCAATGAGATGGAAGAGGCAAATTTCCAATTTCATGTGGAATGTAAAGAGACTCCAAATAAATAAAGCACTCTTGACAAAAAGAAACAAGGTAGAACGTATCTCACTCTCTGATCTCACTTCTTACTACACAGCCATGGTGGTCAAGACATCATGGTACTGGAACAGTGATGGAAACATAGATCAATGGTATAGAATTGAGAACCTAGAAATCAGCTTATTTACCTATGGTCACTGATGTTTAATGTAAAAAAAAAATCAGTTAAGTGGGGAAAAGAAATCCTCTTTCTTAAATAGTGTTTGTGAAACTGGAAAACTCAAGCAAGACCCATACCTTGTACCATACACAAAAAGTAACTCTAAGTGGATCAAAGACCTAGCAGTAGAATCAAGGGCCGTAAACTTCAATACCTCTAGAAGTCCTAATTCACAATATGAACAATCTTCCAAGTATCTTGAAAACCTTCAACCAGGAGAGAATAAAATAGGTAAATGGGGTCTTCTAATAATCAGACCTCTATGCACATAAAAAACGCCAATAATGTAAAAGGAAATATAGAGGCTGGGTAAAAAAAAATAAAAAATTTTGTAATGACGTATCTGATAAGGGACTCATATCTAAAATTTATAGAGTGCTTCAGTCCCTCAACAAGAAAAATGTAAACAACTCAATAACAAAATGCACACAAGATATGTATAGACACTTCACTAAAGAAGACATCCAGGTGACAAACACATAAAGAAATGTTCAAAATCCCTAGCTCTCAGAGAGATGCAAATTAAAAACAGCTATGAAATATCATCTCACCCCAGTAACAATAGCAAAGTTAAGCACTGTTAAGTCTGATATGGTCGTAGAGAGAGTGGAACCTTTATTCAAGTACTGATAAGAATGTAAAATGGTGCAACCAGTATGAAAGATGGTATGGAACTTTCTCAAAAATTTGGAAATGGAAATACAATTTAACCCAACCGTTTCATTATTAGGAATATACACTAAAGAAACCAGAGCTGCCACTTACCAGATATATACACACCCATGTTGATTGTTGTGTTACTAACGATAGCAAAGATATTGAAGAAACACCAGTGCTCACAAAACAAGTGAACAGTTATGAAAACTATAGTATATTCACACAATGAAATATGCAGCACTGAAAAACAAGGGACTCATAAAATATTGTACAGTATGGATAACCCTGGAGGACATTATGCTGAGTGAAATATTTCAGTTACAAAAGGACAGATACTGCACAACACCACTGTTATAAAACTGGACTCACATGAGGATTGGGGGGGAAACTTAGAAAATCGAAGATAAATAATGAACAATGCATTGAGCAGATGAAGGAAAGAACTCTTTAAAAACAATATATGATTAGGCATTATTTGCATGACAACAGTCTAAAATAAGAAGTACACAGCAAAGTAAATTGGAGGAGGGTAGAGGAGGGAGGAAATTAGACAATAATGAGTGAATATTTTTTTTTCAAAGTGAATTGGGGAGTAGGGAAGAAAATGTGCAACAATGAATGAATGAAAATCCAAATTTCTGTAAGCGGTTAAAATCACAATTAAAGAATTCAGTAACAAT